GCGGAATCGAAGGCCATAACTTCGTGTAGGGGACCGATAAGCAAATACCAAAGGCGGACATGCAACAGCCCTCCATGGAGTATTCGAGGGTATACGGCTTGCTGGGATTGGCCACTTCGAATTTTGACCATTCACTTGTCAGCTCTCACATAGTAGACGCTGCGGCATGCTTAGGCCCGTGTGCACGTGCATCTCAGCTGGGAGGGGAGGAATGTGAGAAGAGACGCGTCATATTTCACTACTTTGATATCTTCATCCTTTCTTGTCTCTCTATCTTAGAAGGTCCTCACATTCTGATATATGATGCATGACAGATTATTGCCAAACAAAATGAGAATTTCGTGATCCCCTGGGAGATCCCCAAAGCATTAGCTTTTGTGGTCAAAGTCGTCTGTTCCCATAAACTCGATCAAAACGTACTAAAATTGCACGGAGGATCTTTTCAAGCACTGCTAGGCATGTTTTCGAGGACAGATGGAATATGAGGGATTTGGGACTTAAGTTGTTCGATAATGCACAGCACGACAGTGGTTCACCGAAAATTCCAATGTTTTGAAAATTCACTTTTTTGCTTTAAACATCTTTAGCATGCCATCGTATCAGGGTGTCTCATAATTTTTTGCCCTTTTTACCCTAAACATCAGCATTTCTCGAGAACTGAGGTACCTACGTGGGGCACAAATACACGATTGTATTGTACTTCTGTATGTATGCGCTACATGAACACGTGCGTCGATGGAGCTCAGGGACATCTAAGGGCGGAGTTTGATTTCAGCTCAAAACTTCACGTGAAGTACGATTTGGGCAAACGTTCGACATCCATCTTGTAGAGCTTGCTTTTAACTATCGAATGATTAGTCAAGCCAAGATAGTTGAAGGAAAGATACAAAAGACGGCAGTTGTAGTAGAACGTTTGAAAAATTATGAGACACCCTAATATATCCTCAGTCAAATTTACAACGTTTATCGAGTTCAAATGAAGATAGTTGACGTCGAAATGATAGGTATATTCCCGGTGATCCCCCAGGGGATCACACTAAACATTGAAACTCTCATCTTGTGACTCAATGCTCTGTAATCCATTATGCTCAAGCATGAGCATAATGGATTACAGAGCATGAGATGAGAAACTGAGATAGGAAATGAGATGAGAAACTTCAAAAATAGATAAACAAAAAAGAATACAGATATTGAAAGCAGCGAGATATAACGCATCCATTCGTCCCCTCCGCTACACAGGGAGGATGCACGTGCAAGGGGCTTGGTCAACACTTCTATTAACGTGTATTATCCGGATAAGGGCATCACCTGATGCCAAAGTAAAGCCTTGCACTTCAAATTTTGCTTCTGACAATGAGAACCATAGCCCAAACAAAACATTTCGTAAGCAGGTCTTACAAGCGCAGCTATTTTCAGTAAAACTTTTTTGGCGATGCTCCATGATGTAAGCTAGAAAGCTCATTCCCTTGGATCACCATATCACCATTTTTTTTTGACATTTAATGTTATGAAAAGCTCACAAATCTCATTTATCAGAGAAACGCGCGATGCCCACACTCTTCTTCCACCATTCAAAGTATCGGATTACTTAATTGATTATGCTGCGAAAATGTTGATATCAGATGTAAATTGAGTATCAAAGTACGAGACAGGAAAAATTCAAAATTGCGAAGTCGTCTATAAAACTGACTTGAATGGATTATAAACTGAAAGCCCCATGCCAAACTCCAGAACCATCCAACAAGAAAAAACGGCACAGTCGCAAATTGGCTGATTCCGACGATTACGTTGAGATTCTAAACAAACGTCAAAGTTGGCACTGCAAAGCTCGCATTTTCGTACCATTGCAGCTTTACAAAACATTGTTCAATGCCTAGACACTATATTTGGACCGAATCGAATAATTATTCGATCATTCGAATGCGAATGATTCGAAAAGTCGAATATTCGAAAATCTGAGATTTCGAATAAAATTCGAAAGTCGAATATTCGAAAATCTTCATTTTCGAATATTATTCGAAAGTCGAGTATTCGTAAATCTTAACTTAATATTATTCGAAAGTCGAATATTCGAGGGTTATTCATTCGATCATTCGATGTCCATCAAATATTCGAATATTCGTTGAGCACCGAATATTCGGAAATTCGATAAGAATTGACTATTCGAAAATTCGATACACCGAATATACAATTCGATATGCATAGCGTATACGGGGTATCTTAAAAGTTTCTACACAACGTTTGATCGCTGTTACCACTCAAAGTCTTTTGCCAATTTTTGGATAACACCCATTAGACATGGCTTCAGCTTATAAATACAGCAGAAAGCGAATCACCCATGTTTTTCTTATTGTGTGTTGTTATCACGGTAGGAAATTCCAGCATATAGACCAACTGCAAAAAAAGACATCCAAAAAATTGTCTCCAAAAAAGGTCTAAAATCTGTGCAGCAGTGTTTTTACGTATGCTGATTTTACTATGCATAAGTTTTCAAGCTTTTCAAATGGCAATCACACTTTTGAAAGGCGTTGCAAAGCACTTGTTACGGTGTACTTTGCGTAAGTTTTGAAAAAAGCATTACGGTTGAGTGCAAATTCTACATGAAGTGAGTGTCTTTAGAAGTCTAATGCAAGACTTTCGGCCCTTTTGATTCTTTTTCTTGAGGAAATGGCTCTTGATGTTTCGAAACCCGCTTCAATCTTAAGGTAATTTTACAACAGTGAAAAGCGATTGATAAATCGTCCCATAGTCTAAGTTGATGTCAGCCAACAGATCTACATACTTGGGGACCGCTGTATATCCAATCGCAACTCTCAGTGATGATATATAATCTTCTTTGAAGTACGAAAAATCTCTTCACAACCGTCACAGGAGTAGCTTTCAGGTTCCTAAATCTCTTCACGTCACGACTAAGCCGTTTTTCAATCGTAAATTGCAACATAAGAAAGTGTCCATTGTTTCACTTACATGAAACAATTCATTCTTAGATGTTTCGGCCTTTCATAGGCCGCCTCAATGACGTAAATTATTCGATCAGTATTCGAAAATCGAATTATATTCGAAAATCGAATAACATTCGAGAAGCGAATAATATTCGAAACTCGAATAACGAATGATATTCGATATTCGAATATTATTCGATTCGAAATTTTCATTTTCGAATAATATTCGATAGTTGAGTATTCGAAATTTTCAATTTTCGAGTAATATTCGATAATCGAATATTCGAGAATTTCGATTTTCGAATATTATTCGATATTCGAATATTCGAAATTTTAAATTTTTGAATATATTCGATATTCGAATATTCGAAAAAAATTTCGAATTTCCCCAAGTATACTAGACACCTTTATATACTGGAGCAGAATAGATTTGAGCATGTTGACACATTTTGGATGCGACTTTGCCCGCGGTGAGGCCTGCCCTTTGATCATTAACTTCTTGGACTTGATCATTAATTTCTTGGACTCGCACAATTGCAATCCCCAAGTCAAATAAACTCTATTCGCAATGTTCTTGAAAAGTTTGGAGTCTTCGAATTTTGTCACTTGAGAAGACTGCTGTGCTTTCTTGGAAGATACTAACAAGGAAACGATACTTAGTGACCCAGGCCATGTGGGATTCGATGTATACCATAAGGTGCACCTCGAAACGCTGATTTAAATCTGTGCTCGAAATCTGCGAAACGATCGTTTGAAGGCAGTTATGAACTTCTTTTCGTAGAAAATTTGCGCACTTTTAGGTAGTTAAAATCACCCAATTTGATCTATTTTACCGTTTGAAGCTATTGAGGAGAATTTTAAAAGGTGTAACTTGTATTTATACCTATCTAAACAATATTCGACATTTGAAGAGGAAAGAAAAATTTTTATTGATGATTTTCACTCTTCGCCGTAGCGCAATTCATTTTTGAAAAAATAATCATAACTCTGTCCAGTTTATCGTTTTGCAGATATGAAAAACATTATTTGAACCAGCATCAAAAGGCGCATTTTTTGATATATAAATCATTATGAATGGCCGGGGAACCAAGTATCGTTCCCTGCTAAGATCTCAGCCTCGGACGGTAACCAGATGCACCTATGTCGCGCAGGGCACCTCGTTACAAAGGTTACGTTGTTTCATAATGCTGTACTGATTGCAGCTGATTGAGGTGAGCAGCATGTTCACATGTGAAAAAAGAATGACCTCGAAAGACCGAAACCCTTGAATGACTCCTAGGAAAATCAAAAGTTCCGATTTCTCCCTCTGCAGTCAAATTTTCCTTTTTTTTTCTTAACGCGAACATGAACGGCCGCTGCAATCGCAGCGGTCAAGGCGGTCAGTTGCAGCTGCCGCAGTCTGCTACTGTCTGCTGCGGTCACTGCGGGAGTATGGAACAACTCAAAAGGTATATCTATCGACATACTGCTCCTTTTTACAACTTTGAGGGCGCTTTGAAAACAGACAGACTTTTTTGGATGTTTCTGCGCGTTGTCTTCATATAATAAGGACTTACATAATCTAAGTGACTTGTGCCATAAAAGTTTTTTTAGAGCCATTTCTAGTGGCAATGCGTGCAGAAATTCCCTTCTTTACAAATAAGAAAGAGCAACGAAGTGTAGTTTTGAAAGATCACTGTTTATTTAAGACTTCTGAAGATTGAGAAGCATCGACGTAAGCTACTTACAAATATTGGTAAAAAAGGCTGGACTGCTGTTCTGATGAAAGAGTAGGTAGTGACTGTTCAACTGAAAAACACTCATTGTTTTGTTTTTCGGTCGCAGCACTGGTAGTACATATCAATCAATAGCAGTTTTGTATCTGTTCTCTCACCCACTGCAGGTCTAATAAGTCACTTCATAATTCGAATTTTATATTGCTTGAAGCGATCAACTTCGTATTTATCTGATTAGGGTTACTTCACTTATCGTGTTTAAGTGAACTGCAGTTAGCTGGTAATGGTAGGTACAGAAAATTAAAGCATCTTTTCTGGTTAGGCTACATTGAATAATTTCCATCTATCCTTCATCAATCCACCGTGTAACACAAACTGCAAAAGAATCCAAAAGTACCAAAGCTGAGATTCTTCCCTCGTGGATCCCACTCATTCGTGGTTGACCGATGCACATACCCACTATACCGGAAAACATCGTTCCTGTAAAACTTGGATATGTTTCTTGTAGTGCCAGTAACAGACGCAGAGTTAGAATAGGAAAAGGTCTCACCTGCCCCTGGTATAGAAATGTTCAAGACAAAGCAAAACAGAGCAATCGGAAGCGGCAAGTATGGAATTGCCTCATGCATTTTATCGATATCGCCCACCGGAAGATGCAACTCAAAAATGTGTTCGTTCACAGCGATTTAGCCAAAACTAAGCGCTTTTCACCTTGCCATCGGTTTTCTCGTTCGGATCATCTCCATCCGGAGCATCGTTAATAGCAGCATGGGATGTAAGTGGTTGTGACGGCTTCAAATAAAATGCTTTCCATGTAATTATGTTTAGATCAATGAATTGCATGAATAATCTTTAGCAGCGGGATACAACTTTCTACCAGTAGAGGAAATTTACCCAACTTCTTTTTGACTCATGAAGATTTTCTAGGTACTCCCCATAATCCACGATATTCGCTTCGAGACAATCGGCGTTAATAAGTCATTGAATCAAATGGAATCAATTCGATGAAATGACTTAGGGGCATCTGCCCTATCTCGTTAGCAGTGTCGTTACTGCGTTCGAAAAAATTTGACGGTAACCGTAACTCTTAAATCGTTCCATCATCGTATTTCGAAAGCATAGCTCTTCTTGTGCATAACATTAACTCCTCTTACCCTAGTATTTGGTATAAGACGAAAATGTGTAGATTGGTCGCAGTAATCATGTTAGTGGTTACTCGCATCTTAGGTGCTTAAAAAATTCGTTATTAAACTCTCTAGAAAGCAATCTCTCGAGTTCGGAAACAGCGCCCGAGCGATAATTTTCAGTTGTCCCAAAAGTAATTCGCTTTTTTGGATGGTGCCACAATTTGCAGAACAAAGATCCATAGAAGATCTTGTAGCATTCGATGCATCTTTTTATTCTCTGTTGAGTATCTGCTTTCCTATTGCAGTGCATTAAAAGAACTCCCGAAAAATCATCAAAATACAAAAGCATTTATTTTGTCATGTTAAGTTTCGCTACTTTTCCAAATTTTCATGCTGATTTCTGGAAAAAGTCAAATCACGTTTTAATACAGCAAACTTTACAGGATACAAAGCAATTTTACATAGCTTTTCTAATTTCCTTTTTTAATTTCTCAAGTTTTCTTTGATGCTATCAAAATCCTATAAGACCAACGCAAACTTCACAGAGCATCAACCGGCGAGCAACTCGGGTATCATTTGATGCAGCACTTTTTCTCATTCTGATAAATGCTTTTCGTTTTTAATTTGCAAAAAATTCGGGAAAATATCAATGTAATTTATGTTTTCAATACGTCAAAGGCTGTGCCTGGAAAACTCAAGATTTACATCTCGAATTTCCGCTCATTTGTTTTCTCAAATGTAACCATATTCCACTTGGGAAGTTACAAATGTGAATGATTTACTGGTATTTGACGCATTTGTGCCTGAGGCACCTGCTTAAATTTGGTGGTTTACTTATGGATTTTTTATTAAAAACGATAGCGAGTCTTGGGAAGGAGAGAAAATTGCTTTGCACCATCTAAGGTCTGCCCTATCCATCCGTTGCTTGGAATCTAAGAATCGGTGCAAAAATTTCGAAAAATAGCGAAGCTTGACCATGGCAAAAACTAGGTTTCAAATTTTGGTGATTTTAGAGGTTTAATCCACTGCAATATAAACACAATTATCTGGAAAGAAGTAAGAAGACGCAACGAATGCTGTAAAAATCGTTTGTGAATATTTGTTCCGCGGATTGCGGCAACCGTGCAAAATAAGCGGAAGTAATTTCGGGGCGATTCATTGAAAAAAAAGATACAAGGTAGAAGTCTAAATCCGGTGCAAGGAATGAGCGGCTAAGAGTCAGTTTACATTGCCGGGATGAAAATAACTAATAGTTATAAGTTCGCAGTTCGCCTTCCAACAAATTTCACACATCAAGTCCAGAGGGTAACAGAACAAAAAAGTAACACTGCGATCCGTGTGAACTGCGTGGTTCCTAGTGGGTCTGCAGTTCACTAAAATTTTATCATAATAAGTGATTGCACTACCTTGCCACGTCTTGATTTCACTTGAAAGCGGGCTTCTTAAAAAATATTGGATTTCTTCTTTTTTTTGTGTCAGCTAGCACCAGGGTTGAGCGTGGGGTCAGCTGTCCGACCTGGGGGTGCGTATTGAGGTAAGGCTGGAGGAGGGGTCGTAACAAGGATCGATTTGGTTCAAAAAACTGAGGAAATATCATGATTGAAGGCAGCGTCCCATCAGACTGGGTGGTACCTGGCTCTGATAGTGCCACGTCTTGATTTCACTTGAAAGCGGGCTTCTTAAAATATATTGGATTTCTTCTTTTTTTGTGTCAGCAGAGGTGTAGTAGTAGACCCTCTAAGTGACGACAGAAGTTTGCAGCGCGAAAGAGGATCTACGAAATCTACAAATCCCTCCCCAAGTGGCCCAAAACTTACGGTAGGCTCGGGCGAGTACGAGATGCATGCAAATTAGAGACGCAGGGTAGTTGTGGGACCTGCACTCATGACTATGTGGGCTATGCGTGCTCTGGCCTTGCAGTTCGAAATTGATCTGTGTGCGGCGTTCGTCCTACCGTAAGATTCGGGCCACTTGGGGGGGGGGGGGGGTGGGGGAAAATGGCGAAAATGAGCTTTTTCCAAAGGTCTCCGTGTCAGCGTTCACTCCAAATTACGTGTAAAAAAGGGCGGAGTATGGAAATGGGCGGCGTTCGTAAGGCATTCCGGAGCAAATTTTGGGCTTTCCGAGAGCGCTTTTTTGCTCCCAACTTCACTAATAACTTAGCTGGAGGGTTTACCATCAAAACACGTGAAATCCCGGCACCAATCATTTTGAGGGGACGCTGCCTTTGAAGCTTTGGGATATTTATCATTCTCGATGCCCTGGATGAGCTAAGTCCAAGACTGTGCTTTGCAGCTTCAAAAGACATCAATAACCCGCTTTTTCAGACGTGAAAAATGTTACTTTTGGGCGGACCGCGTATCCGCCCTCTAGAGCGCAATTGGCTCGTGGGTACGGTGAGTAGTATCTCCACTCACGAGCTAATCGCGCTCTAGAGGGCAGATACGTGGTCCGCCCTCAAATGGCGCTTTTCACGTCTGGAAAAGCGGGTCACTGATATTTTTTGGAGCTGCAAAGCACAGTCTTGGACTTAGCTCATCCAGGAAAACCGAGAACGATTAACATCCCAAAGTTGTCATTCTGCCGAACCGCTGCCTTCAAGGCGAAGAAGAAAAAGCGGTCGTCCGGTATTGCAACCTCACCATTGCTGAAGGAATGACCTTTGGGAACAGGGTACTAATTAATTTTACCATCGGAGTTTCAGCGGTTTTTGTGTAAAATGGGTATCATTTTCGTGATCAGCATGTCAAATTCTACGAAAACATTACCTACTGTGCTTTCTAGTGTTTCTCAACGTCTAAAAACGCGAATTTTCAAACGTGATTAACTTGGTCATAAAAATGAAAAAAGTCAGCTTTTTCATACTCCTAATGAACTAATATTCTTTATCAGTCTATGCTGAAAATTAAACTTCATATCGTTTTCAAATAGTAGAGCAAGAAGCGCTGCCAAAATTTCAGACACCGCCTTTTCATCTTGAGTGTTTCAACTCCACGAACTAACAAAGCCGAAACAAGCTGAAGCAAGCCCAAACATCTAATGGAGAATCTTCGAGGTTTGTGCTAGCAAATCACATAAAACTTGGGTGGAAAAGACTCTTCAGAGATAAAGTTAATGGGGTCAAGCTCAAAAGGTCAGGCTGCCTCAGCTTTTCTAGCCTGCCTGACCCCTTTAAATTGCCCCCAAAATTCAAAATCGCTCTACTTCTAGCGTGATTAAAAAGCTCAATGCCACTTCTTGCCATCTTGAAAATTTGGAGTCAAACATTTCATCCCTGTGGGGATTATAGCTTTGAAAGGAGAGCCATCTAGATCCAAAAATTACCGTCGAGTTGTGTGTGCCGCACTGTTGTGCAATCGCAGAAATTCGGTCCTATACTCCAAAAAACGAAACCTTCTAATAAAGGCTGATTTTCTATAAAATGTCACAGCTTGAGGTCTTGAAAGTGATACGGAAGGGGTCGTTTAGGGGCTTTCAGGGGAGGCGAGTTGTTTTTAAAAGACTTGTGCCTAACCTCTTGCTGAACCCTTGTCACCACTGTATACCTTCACCCCTGCCAGTGCTTTTCATGTAATCTCATATGGATCCTTTTACTCTGAACTCTGATCTAAAGAACTATGAACTTTTATTTATTCACCTATATTCAGCGATCAACTTGTACGATAAACGACTTTTTTCATTTCCTGTCCTTATATATGGACCGGTAGTAATCTGCGAAACTCCGAGTCTGATGCTGCGCGTTAGCTTACAAGGGATGTCAGGTAACTTAGAGTTGTCGCGTTTCGACATGAGACATATACTTGGAATCAGCTTCGAATGCTGATTCCAAACATGGTGTTCATACCCGCGGGGCTTATTCTGAAGGATGGGATTTTTTCTGTGCAGCTATACTTTAATGTTTAATCCACCATATGCTCTGAGATACATTTCCTTTTTGTCTTACGTTGCAACTACAAGGCTCAATTGCTTGGACAATCGAACACACACTGGTTTTTTATGTTGAAATGCAGACGTCTTTGCTGGAGTAGATAGATAGTGATATGAACTCACACCCGGGCGGCCTAATATTCCTGACGTCTTCCCATACTCGACGATGCGTGGCAGATTTTCTTGTATTAGCCTCCATCCTCTATGCCTTACGAATTCGACCGTTTGACCTGATATGTTATATCGACATTCTAGGTTTCGTACTTCTATGATGGTTTGCCGCACAGGGCTATAAATTTGTCTATTGAGCTTAGATAAGCAGAATTTTAACGAACAAGATTTTACTAACAGACTGTGTTCTATGGTGGCAAACATAGCAAACATACTCGTTCACATAGCGTTTACCTGATAATACTTGCTTTCGAAAAGGATGGCATCAGAAGCACTCGTCCGGGTTATCCCAAAATAGCCTCAAAAAGGCAGTTTTTTTCTGAGGAACTCACGCTTTTTGACCTTATTCGGAATAAGCGCCAAGTATAGGCTTAGATAACACAAAATATGGAAGTCAAGAATCTGCCTAAAATGCTTTAAGTCATTTTAACAGCTGACGATAGGCATGGCGCCTTAAAGGCACCGTCCACCCAGATTTTCGATTTCCACGTTTTTGTCGTTCCAGGGCCTTCTCATGTTCCTGATTCCGAATATGAAGTCGAAAATGCGCGATAACAGCGACAACCC